TGGCCTTTGTTCTTTGCTAATGCAAGATTCACGTCAATTGGAGTCTTTGCAACTTTAAAGCCCAAGTGCTTGAATTTTTCAAGTACTGTCTTAATATAATGAGATTGTGACAATGCCAGACCTTGAGGAGTCTTATTGATCTTAATTCCCAGAATTAAATCAGCAACTCCCAAGTCTTTCATATCAAACTTGCTATTGAGCATACGCTTAGTAGCATTTATGTTGGCAATGTCATTACTCATTATCAACATATCATCCACATATAGGCAAACAATGACTATGTGATTTGGAACATTTTTAATGTACACGCATTTATCACATTCATTTATCTTAAAACCATTTGACAACATTGTTTGGTCAAATTTCGCATGCCATTGTTTGGGTGCTTGTTTTAGTCCGTAAAGAGACTTAACAAGTCTACATACCTTCTTTTCTTTACCTGGAACCACAAACCCTTCAGGTTGTTCCATGTAAATTTCTTCCTCCAACTCTCCATTTAAGAAGGCCGTCTTAACATCCATTTGATGAATTTCAAGACCATACACTGCAGCTAATGCTACTAACATCCGTATGGACGTAATTCTTGTAACTGGAGAGTATGTATCAAAGTAGTCTAGACCTTCTCGTTGTCTATACCCTTTGACTACGAGCCTTGCCTTGAATTTATCAATAGTGCCATCATCTTTGATTTTTCTCTTAAAAATCCATTTAGAACCCAAAGGTTTATTTCCAGGAGGAAGATCAACCAATTCCCATGTATGGTTGTTCAATATGGATTCTATTTCACTATTGACTGCCTCTTTCCAAAACAATGATTCCGAAGAAGTCATAGCTTCTTTAAATGTTTGAGGCTCATTCTCCAATAAGAAAGTCACAAAATCTGGTCCAAATGAAGTAGACGTTCTTTGACGTTTACTACGTCTTGGATTCTCCTGATTACATGTACTTTCTTTTGTTTCTTCCCGAGGTCGTTTAGATCCTTCACCAAACGACTCACATTCCTTTTTATACGGATATATATTTTCAAAAAACTCAGCATTATCTGATTCTATAACCGTATTATTATGAATGTCGGGATTTTCTGATTTATGAACCAGAAATCGATATGCTTTACTATTTGTCGCATATCCTATGAAAACACAATCAACGGTTTTCGGTCCTATCTTTACCCTTTTGGGTTTAGGAACTTGCACTTTTGCCAAACACCCCCACACTTTAAAATAATTCAAGTTGGGCTTCCTTCCTTTCCATTGTTCATAAGGAATGGATTGTGTTTTGCTATGGGGCACTCGATTTAATATTCGATTAGCCGTAAGAATGGCTTCCCCCCACAAGTTCTGTGGCAAACCAGAACTTATCAACAACGCATTCATCATCTCCTTTAATGTGCGATTCTTTCTTTCCGCAATCCCATTAGATTGGGGCGTGTAAGGGGCTGTTGTTTGATGAATAATTCCATATTCTAAACATATTTCTTCAAAAGGAGATTCATATTCACCACCCCTATCACTTCTTATCATTTTTACTTTCTTGTTAAGTTGCGTTTCAACTTCATTTTTGTATTGCCTGAATGCGTCTATTGCTTCATCTTTACTATTCAGTAAGTAAACATAGCAATATCGAGTACCATCGTCAATAAAAGTTATGAAATACTTCTTTCCACCGCGAGATGGTATTGACTTCATGTCACAAATATCTGTGTGAATTAAGTCTAAAGGATTTGAATTCCTTTCAACTGACTTATAAGGATGTTTAACATACTTAGATTCCACACATGTTTGACATTTTGATTTTTCGCATTCAAACTTGGGCAGTACTTCCAAGTTAATCATTTTCCGCAAGGTTTTATAATTGACATGACCCAAACGTACATGCCATAAATCATTTGACTCAAGTAAGTAAGAAGAAGCTGAAATATTATTATTATTTTCAACAACCATTACATTTAGATTGAAAAGGCCCTCGGTGAGGTAACCTTTTCCCACAAATATTCCATTCTTACTAATTACAACCTTGTTGGATACAAAAACGCACTTAAAACCGTGCTTAACAAGAAGTCCAGTAGAGACTAAATTCTTTCTCATTTCGGGAACATGAAGGACATTGTTCAAAGTCATGACCTTGCCAGAAGTCATTTTTAGAAATACCTTCCCATATCCTTCAACTTTTGCTGTTGAAGCATTTCCCATATAAACTGTCTCTCCGGGTTCAGCAAGAGCATAGGTAGCAAAAGCCTCTCTAACTGCACAAACATGGCGAGTGGCTCCTGAATCAAACCACCACAGTTTAGGATTTCCCACCAAGTTACATTCAGAGAGCATGGCACACAAGTTATCAACATCATCATGGTTTACTACCATGTTTGCTTGACCCCTTTTCTTGTCTTTCTTCGGAGCACGACACTCCGTAGATTTGTGTCCGGTTTTCCCACAGTTGTAGCAGTTTCCACTGAACCGCTTCTTGCTTGGGTTGTATTTCGGACCAGAAGCCTTCTTCCTCTTTTTGTTAGCTTCAACAATATTTGCTCCCATTATTGTTGAATTTCCACGGCCTCTCCTTTCAGCAGCTTTATTGTCCTCTTCGATTCTCAACCGAACAATGAGATCTTCAAGGGACATTTCCTTTCGTTTGTGTTTCAAATAATTTTTGAAGTCCTTCCACAACGGAGGCAACTTCTCAATCATTGCTGCTACTTGGAATGCTTCGTTGATTACAAGACCTTCAGCAAGTAGATCATGAATAATCACTTGCAATTCCTGGACTTGAGTAATAACAGACTTGCTATCTATCATTTTGTAGTCCAGAAATTTTGCGGCAACGAATTTCTTCATCCCGGCATCTTCAGTCTTATATTTCTTTTCAAGCGCATTCCACAATTCTTTGGATGTCTCCATGCTACTGTATACATTATACAGATTATCATCCAGTCCGCTAAGAATATAATTCTTGCATAAAAAATCAGAATGCTTCCACGCTTCAATCACGAGAAAGCGTTCATTATCTGGAGTTTTATCCGGCAGATCAGGAACATCTTCCTTGATGAACTTCTGTAGACATAACGTAGTTAAGTAGAAGAACATCTTCTGCTGCCAGCGTTTGAAATCAATCCCGGAAAATTTTCCGGGTTTTTCTGCCGGTGCCAACGCCGGTGTTCGGCTTGTCGTTGCGTTGGCAGTCGCCATCGGAACAGCTTGGTTTTCGTTTTCAGTCATCATCTTTTCTGTAAAAGAATGACACAAACAAACGTTTAATACACGTTTTCAAACTGGAGTAAAAATCACGTAGATTTTAATATCCAACAAAACGCCACGAAGGCTTAACTCTCCAAAACGGGAGTACACAAACCACAAAGGTTTTAGTTTGCAGAATAATAAGAATAACACAAGTACAGAAATAAATATTAAATTCCTTAAGATTGTTATTCCCGGTCAATATTGCTGTATTTGTAAATATTAATTCTGCAAAATATAAGTTAACGTAATGAAACAATAATAATAAATTCGAGCCCACTGAATTCACAGTGTTTCCTTAAGGAATTTAATCCCCTCCTAGTACCCAAGGTAATGGATTATTTCCTCCCAGGATAGAACGAATCACACACTGGTGTAGCGATACTTCAAACCCCAGTGTTTTAGCGAACACAAAGTTCGGTAGCAAATCACACTTACAGTTGCTTTGTTTGAAGTTAAAAACAATGCAGAACGAGGGAGTAGAAACTCAGAAAATCGTATGGAAATGCTGAGAGGAAGGAGTGCAATGTATAGCCAAATCTGTTGAGCGATTTCAGTTTGTATCTTGTGTGTTGTGTGTCTTTCTTCAACATCTGCTGCACATATATATAACAGTCAGTGTTGAAGAAGAACAATCGTCCACCCTCTATGGTGGAGCAAGCATTAGCTTGTTTGTGGAGCAAGCACATTCTTGGTGGGAAGAGCATTAGGCGGCTGCCTTGTGGTCAATACACGGATTGGAAAATATCCGTTACAAATACGGATAATCTTACGTTAATAATTACTATTAACAAATAAATTTGGTCCAAAAAATTAATCAATCAATCGATCATTTGACCGAAGCCGAAGCCGAAGCCAAAGCCGAGCGAGCGACGACGACGACGACGCGAGGCTTGCTTTCTTCTTAACTCTTTAAGAGTTACAAGAAGAGCAATTATATATATACCCACCAAAAATCTCTTCCTCTTCCAATATGGGACAATGTCTCATTGTCAAAAGGGGAAAACTTAAAATTTTACTCAAAATTTCATTTTCCCTCCATTTTTCATTCACTCTCATTTTAAGACTATTTCATCTTAAAAACAAAACCTCAATAATTTCTCTATTATTTCTCAGTTTGTAGCAGTAGTGCAATAGATAACTAGTGAGTAGTCAAGAAGGGAGAAGAAGATGTTGGCGGGTTATGTTGAAAATGAAATAAGGGTAGAGAGAGAAAAATAATTCAGTAATTCACGAACCACTCCTTGTACAACATTTGCATGAGATGCTTAATAGTCACATTTCTTATATATGTTAGGTGTTTAATTGGACGATGCATTAGTTAAAGTGTCAAAATAAAAATTTATCGCCTATTTATTTGGCTTTTTTTTTTTTGCTGAGATGGATGTTTATTTGGACAGATATGTAAACTTTAATTTTCTTTTCTCTCTCTTCTTTTTTTATTATTTTTTCTAATTCATTCTTCCAAGTTTCGTACTTCTATTCCTGTAAGAGTATCCCAGTAAGAAATGGTTTCTATCTCTTTACAAATAGTTTTTTTTTTATAGAACTCTCCAAATTCAATCTTCTAAAATTTTCAATCATTTAACTATCTTAATAGCAAAAAAGAAAGTGCAACGACCAATTTCAGTTGAGAAGTCAGTATAGGCGATTTACTGGCTATTTTCGGTAGTTTAAGAATAATTTTGATTTTTTTCTTAAATTTTAATCAAATATTTTTACATAAATTGAAAAGGAGGAAATAATATTAGTTCAGACCATAGATTTAGTTTAATAAGTTGTTAATGAGAAAAGACAAAAGCAAAACAACAAACGGCCTTCGTGTTTCTCTTCATCACCTTTCACGATTCAGATCTGTTTGACACCAAACTTCACTTCCCCCAACAACACGCACATTTTCCTCACACATATATAAACATACACAGCAAAACAACTGAATACAAATTTGATTTTAGGGTTTACTGTTCTTCAAAATGGATGGTCCAGCTCATCAAACGGACACCGTGATGTCGGACGCGGCGGCGGCGCAGCAACCAGCTCCTCCGACGCAGCCGGTGGCCGGAATCGATAACATCCCAGCGATGTTAAGCCACGGCGGCCGGTTTATTCAATACAATATTTTTGGTAATATATTTGAAGTTACTGCAAAGTATAAGCCACCGATTATGCCCATCGGTAAAGGAGCTTATGGCATTGTTTGGTAAATTTTTTCCTTTTTTCTGAACCGTTGACTTGCCTTTGTAAAAAAATTATGTTGATTTTGATTGATGAAAATATGTTTTTTTGTATTGTATTTGTGATAGTTCTGCTTTGAATTCGGAGACGAATGAGCATGTTGCGATAAAGAAAATCGCGAATGCTTTTGATAACAGAATTGATGCCAAGAGAACTTTGCGTGAGATTAAGCTTCTTCGACATATGGATCATGAAAATGTCAGTGAGTGATCCCTTTTTTTTTCCTTAGTATATTTTACTTATTGGATCAAAATTATTGTGGAATAGGTTAGGAAATATTTAATGTTACCATCTCCGGGAAAAGGTTAGAAATATTTCCTTGTGTTATACTCCCGCCGTCTCAGTTTATGTGATGGTGTTTGACCGGACACCGAGTTTTAGAAAGAAAAAAGACTTTTGAAACTTGTCGTCTAATACAAGCCATAGACATTTGTGTAGCTATACATCATCTCATTAAGGCTAAAATGAGAAATTTAAAACAAAATTGTTTCTAAGTATAGGAAATGTGTCATTTCTTTTTAGGATCCTAAAAAGGAAAGAATGTCCGATAAAATAGGACATTGGGAGTATTATATTTCTATATCAAATGGAATAAAGAGTGATATTGAAAGTATTCACTTGTCCTTTCAGGGACATTTGATAAAATTGGAACGATATAGATGGGGAATGTATTAAGGAAATAATACTACGTTGACCTACTATGGAGCGAATAAACGATTAATATTTTTTTCTATTTATACTGACATAAAGATAGAGTAATTTTTGTAGCTAGTATCGGTTATGACACGAAGTTTTGGGTCTCTTTTCCTCCTTGTTTTCAACTGAATAATACTATAAAAACAAACTTTCTTTAAAAAAAAAAATTGTGGACAAATATGTAATGCATATAGAATTAGAAATATTTTCAAGTAATAGATGGAGCTACTTTATTTTACAATGGGAGTTAGATGCTTCATAAGAAAAAAAGAGATGTTAGATCACGTATTGTGTGTGTATAGAAGAAAATTTTTAAGGCTAATTCAACATCTTGCCTTGCAGATTGTTGCGATCAGAGATATAATTCCACCGCCTCAAAGAGAAGCATTCAATGATGTTTATATTGCATATGAGCTCATGGACACTGATCTCCATCAAATTATTCGCTCTAATCAGGGATTATCAGAAGAACATTGTCAGGTTAGAATTAGGATTATTTTATTCTTTCCAGGTGCCATTTAGAACATTTTATCCAATTATTCAAAAGCTTATAAGATTTGCTTATTCTTGATTAAAATCTAATTGGTTGATGTAACAAGTTTTTCAAATATGTGGTGCTTATTTGCTCTTTTCTTTATTTTTCTTTTGCATGTTGGAGTTGGATAATACATGTATCAATCCTTGTGTTGTTGGGAGTAAGCACTGTTCTGACAGTATTACTTCCTTTCTCCTTATGTTATCATTTTTGCAGCTTTCAGTTGTAGTATATTGTTTCCCAGAGTCGTAATGAGTCATTCTTGTTGTGCATGATTACAGCATTTTTAACAGGAAGCATTAGCAGTCTCTCATTCGATGGAAATGATGTTCATAAATGCTCTTTTTTGAATGTTGAAATCTATGAATGAAAACCCATGCCCTTTTCACTTTTATATTTCGTCGGTATCATTTCTACGTTGAACTTTAGTGGGTATGCAATTCTACTGTATCCACTTATATCAAATGGGAAGTGGTAGTAACGTTCAATAATAGACAATTTGGCTTCATCAGTATGCCGTTCTTAATCTTTTTTTCTTTTTCTTTTGAATGGTAGTTTGCTCTTTTCCTCTTATTTGGATTAGGACTTGGATCGCATTATCATCTTTATTTTAGGAGTGCTCTTCATTGTCATGTTAGGGTGAGGCGGTGAGCATTAATGACTGCAAATTTACGATATCTTCTTAGACATATCAACTGAAAATTGTTAGTAATTGTCATCTGATAGCAGTATGCTGTTTGTATCTTTCTTCCTTTTCTTTTCATGGTTAGTATGCTCATTTTCCCCTTACTTAGATGAGTACATAGATCATATTATCATATGTATCATTTTCTGATAATCAGTACTCTTCTAAAGCTAGGAAAATCTTCAATGTTTAGGAGGGCGCTTTTTGGTCATTTTTAGGATGAATCTTAGTGAGTGCAAATCTACTGTATCCGCTTAGAATAATCAAGTGAAGATTGGTAGGAATGGTCAATCATAGACAATTTGACACATCAGTGTTGTTCTTGATAGTTCTCTACTTTTCTTTTTGATCAGCATTAATCTCTTTTTTCCTTCTTATTTGGATAGGAACATAGATTATTTCTAGGGATAAAGTAAGGTAAATTTTGTTGCTTGTAGCATCCGGAGTATGCAGCATGTACAGATTCGGAAATAGATCATATAACCATCGCCATCCGTTTTTGTACAATTGCTGCCCTTTTGAAGCTAGGAAAAGCTTTAAGTGTTTAGAAGTGCTGAAATAAGATTGTTAGAGTGTAACCAACGTAATTGTGGAAGCATATATCAAAAGATAAGTCAAATGCTACCAATCAAAAGAAAAAGGTAAGTCAAACGCTTGAGTGATGTATAGTTGATTATTAGGTGAAGCTATTGGGTAGTACTGGACAATAGAAAATTTGGAAGTGCTCATCTTGGGATATTCTTTTTTTCTCTTGACAACTCAAATATCATTTTATGAATTCACCAACAGGGTAGAAAAGGACAACCCGGTGCACAAAGTATCGCATTCACGCAGGGTCTGAGGAAGGGCCGTACCCCAAGGGATGTGATAGAGACAACCTACCATAATGCAAGCATTAGTGGTTGCTTTCGCGGCTCGAATCCGTGACCAATAGGGTGCACCGGAAAAATATGTATCTAGTGGAAACATAAACTAATGTGGTCTCCTGGCCAGTCTACCCAAAATTTATAAGAAAAAGGTTTTCTTTCTTTAAACAAAGTGTGAATCATACAAAGAAGTGTTCTTGAAGTTATTTAAACTGTTCTAGTTGTTCTTGTAAGTTAATCGCACCATTTCGCCTTAAAGAAAACATCAACAACTACTCTTTGATGCTTCTTATCGAAAACCAACTAGTCTTTGATGCTATGGACTTGTTATAAACTAAGTTGCTCCGACACGCAGTTTAGGTGCCGCACCCGTGTCGACACGACACTAGTATGGGTGTGGTTCTGGGATCCGTACTGGATGTGGTCAAATAATTTTGGGTACTTTGACCACGACGGAAGGAAAAATTCGAGACGAGATACAATTTGATTCCCGAAATCAGAACCAAAACTAGGGTAAATTTAGCATACTTTATCTATCAAATCGATCCTTTACTTATCTAGAGCTTGAGAATAAAAAAGAAATCCACACTTTACAAGCCATACGTAAGTATTCCACAAAATTTCTCATAACTTAGAGATATTTTTATATTTTTTTGAATTATTTTTAGCCGGATCCCCGCACCCGTATCCGTACTAGGATACGTATCCCCGAATCTTAGAATTTACATGTCGAAGGATCCGACCTCTAGATTCGCATCCGTGTCAGACACCCGCATCCATGTCCGAGCAACTTAGGTTATAAATGTATATTTCTTGTATGGTTTACTCTTTATATAGGTTTGCCTCGTAGGAATAAACTTATTGTACTTTCTTAATAAAAAAGTGTAACAATGATGTATTGCTGGTGTATAAACAACATAACAAATCATCTTACTTCTAGATGTAACATTAGATTCCTCTGGAAATAGAGGCGGAGGAGGAAGAGAGGGTAGCCACGGTATAGGGCTCAACGGTAAATATTTATAAGAGAATAAGAGTTTAGGGTAATAGTGAGAGGCTAAAGAATGATATACAAAGCCACCTCATTTCTAAGCTCTCTTTTCCATAATTCAACATAAAAGAAATTACAATTAGACTCTAAGAACAATATGCTTGCTAAATGGGTTTCTATGTGAAATAAGTAGTTAATATACGCAAGGTTGGTACTTTGAGAATTCTGTAATGTAGATTAGTTGTCGAAGTATGGTGTAAGTTTAAAATCTTATATTGGTTATTGTTCAGTTTTTGATGAAAACGTAATCCAAGAATACACACTTCATTGCTTTATTTGCTTTAAGTGTTGCGTCTTATATTGGTTATTTTAGTTTTCGGTGAAAACTTTGTCCAAGAACATGCACTTGCTATATCTGCTGTTATGCTGAACAATACGGAAGTTTACTCTGTTTTTGTAATGAAGAAGTATGCTAATTATCTTGTCTATATCTCTTATTATTCTATCTCCATAACAGTCAGTGTTGCTTTTATACATACCTACCTACTTACATACATACATATTATGGTGCATTTTTCTGCCAAAATTCATCTGTATAATAATTAGTCAACGTTTTTGGTGCAGTATTTCTTGTATCAGATCCTCCGTGGGTTGAAATACATACATTCTGCAAATGTTTTGCATAGGGACTTGAAGCCTAGCAATCTCCTCTTGAATGCCAATTGTGATTTAAAGATATGTGATTTTGGGCTAGCCCGTGTCACTTCTGAAACCGACTTTATGACCGAATATGTTGTGACAAGGTGGTACCGGCCACCTGAGCTGTTGTTAAATTCATCTGACTATACTGCAGCTATTGATGTATGGTCAGTGGGTTGCATTTTCATGGAATTGATGGACAGAAAGCCTCTGTTTCCTGGTAGAGATCATGTACACCAGCTACGTCTGCTTATGGAGGTATTTTGTTTGTCAAAAGTTTTTACCAAACCATCTCCAATCTTCCCCCTAAACATTTACTTTTATCTATGTTGTATACCTTTGCCTTTTTCCCTGTGTCACCTTTTTAGTGTTCATAATTACTACCAGTTAGTCTTCATCAAAAAATAATTACTACCAGTTAGTTATGTGCAAATCTAGCTAGAAATGGAGAACACTATCAGGTTGTAGATCTGGGAAACCAGAAGGTACTGATGGAGTGAACGAGCATTTGTTTTTCAACAGCCTGCTCATCTAGAGCATTGATAAGAAGCAACATGATATGTTGCTTTTTCATTGTAAAATGGATATGGATACGTTCAGTGTTTTCTTCAAATGTGGACAAGATACAATGAATTAAGTTCCTACCCTCTCTCCCCTCTCTAACTATTTCCAAGATGATTCGGTTCTTGGATTAATCATCATCTTTTAAGTTATTGATTTATACACTTGCGTGCAATGACATATAGCACTCTCCGATATTAGTTTCACATGAGGGAACTATTTGCAGTTGATTAGCTCCTCCCGAGGTCCAAACAGAGGTTTTACATTAAGCATCATTATTTGTATTATAAATTTATAATGCTTACTGCAATGACTGAGACTCACTCTCTAATATTTAAGATCATGCTCAGATGTGATTATTCATACTTAAGTTATTCATATGAGGGAATGTTACCTTATTCAAAACAATTATTCTTATGAGGGATTTCTCTGCAGTTGATTGGCACCCCATCTGAGGCTGAAATGGAGTTTTTGAATGAGAATGCAAAACGGTACATCAGACAACTTCCTCTTTACCGTAGACAATCTTTTGTCGAAAACTTTCCACATGTAAACCCTGGTGCTATTGATCTTGTTGAGAAAATGTTGACATTTGATCCCAGAAGAAGAATTACTGGTGAGGAGCCCCTTACATCTAGCTGCATTATTAATTTCTGTATCTTCTTGTTATGTTTTTCATTTATGCATAGAAGAATACTTGCGTGCCTTTGCTAGTATGTATATTTATCCACTTGTCAGACAAATAAAGTTACTACGCGATGATAGTCGTGGGAGATCACCCCCAAAAGAATATCCTCTAATCTATATACTATGGTAGGATTCTTACCTTCTCATAATTATACTTGACGGATAACAATAATCCTCTAACAATCCACAGATTGCTTTGACATGCAGCTTATTATTGTAAATAGTGGTTATTTTGTTGTTGTTGATGCTAGGGGTTTACTCCCATTTCGATTTGCTTCTAATTAAATTATTTAACTTAAGAAAAACGCAAAAACACAATGAGTTTGCTCCATTCTAAGTACTTATTTATCTTCCTTTTGGCAAGGTATTAAGGTATCAATTCTCTCAAGCGCCGAGTTTAGATACCTAATTTTGGCCCATACCATGTGGTAGTGAAAATTTATTTCCCGGACGTATTAGATTATCATTCAAACTTTTGGAGGAATATGGGAAGTTTAGCGTCATTGCATGCCTATGGAAGAAAACAGGCGTATTTTGATTTATTATTCCTGCCGATGCTAGTAAGATTGGAAATCTGCCTAGTTAGAAAGGATGAAACAAAATTAATTTATGGAACAAGAGTGAAACTGTTTCTGGAAATTGGTTGCACATATGAGCATGATCAGTACACAGATGTGTGAAGATGAATTATAAAGTGGAAGGAGCAAATATACGGAAAAGTGGAACGAGCAAATTGTTTTTTAGTACTGAGATGAAGGGAGTTTCTGTCCTTAACCATAATACAAGTAAAGCTTTCTAGATTATAATATTAATCATAAGACATAACCATCCATGCTCTTTAGGCAGCCATAGCATTCCTGCAGAAAATAGCTACTTGTGACAAATAGCAACTGCTGTATTTTTAATCTTGATTAGATACTCATGGGTAGGAACAAAAAGCAAAACTGATCGTTATACCAAAAAATAATTATTTCTCTAAAGACTAGAAACTAACATGGCCTATAATTTCCATGATACGTTCAAGGGTGTGTGTGAATAACATGTTTGTTTTGTGAATAATTGTTTGTCCTACCTAGGCTGTTGAAATATGTTGCTTCTCGAATTAAAGAATTTTGATTAGGAGATGAGAGGAAATATGTCTTTTCTCTCTGTACCTTCCATCTTGTGGCAATCATATTGTCCACCTCTTTATTTCTTATTAAGTGTATGGCCCACCTCTTTATCAACAAGAAGAACTCAGTTACAAACTCTNTGAGATGGATGTGTGGAAGTACCAGGAGGGATAAGATTAGGAATGAAGTTATTCGGGACAAAGTAAGAGTGGCCTCCGTGAATGACAAAGATGCGGGAGTCGAGGCTGAGATGGTTCGGGCATGTTAAGAGGAGAAGCGTTGACGCTCCTGTTAAGAGGTGAGAGGTTGACCACGGGTTTGAGGCAAACCTAAGAAATACTGGGGAGAGGTGATTAGGCAGGACATGGCGCGGCTTCAGATCACTGAGGACATGACCCTTGATAGGAGGGTGTGGAGGTTGAGGATTAGGGTAGAAGGTTAGCAGTAGTACTAGTAGCACGCATGTACTTTCTTATCTCTTAGATTTGTATTACATCATGTTGTTTAGTTTGTTTCAGTTATCGTATTCATCTGTTGTTACTATTTTGGTGCTACTTATTATGTCCGACCGTGAGTCATCCAAAGAATGATTGGGCACTTATTCAAGGGTTTTAGATGGGACGGACAGAAGAGTTTGAACGGGCCAAGGAAAGACCAGCCTACTGGCTAGGCTAAAACAATTCACCAAGGTATCGGATAAAGGCTGTCCCCAGTGAAAGTCGGGTTGAAACATGCTTTAATATAAGATCAACTAACTCTAAGGAGAAGAAAAAAAGACAAATAAATAAAGGACAAACAAGATGGGGTGGCCTCACCTTGGATGGCTGACAGTGCAACCATATTTCAGTCCTCGCCAGCAGTGCTCTAGCTTAGTATTCTTGAAATCTTAAGACGCCTTCTATATCAAAGGATTTGATGAGCCACACCCTACCCTAGGCGGCTAGGCCCTAATATTGGCTGGAATTGCTATAGAGTTTCCACTTTATCAAAAAAGAAAAAAAGAAAAAAGAATTTCTGATAGAGTTATCTGTAACATTCTGAGCACGAACTAAGAACTGAGAATTGTTAAACATAGAATAGTATGATCTTTTGTGGACTATATGCTGGCCTGGGAAAGTGCTACTATTTATTCTGTGGGTACTGTGTGGTTTTCTTGGTCTCTCAAGTAATGAACTGCGTTTTGTAGTATACTGCTACTGCTTTAAGTGATTTGCGGCATGATTTGAATTTGGAAAGGCGTTATGGCTAGCCTCCTGTGACGCCCATGACGGAGGGTGGGCTGATGAGGGTGGGTCAAGCGGGACCGGCATGCTTCTGAAGAAGGGGTGCACATGTCAGCTTGGGCGAATCCCACATCGAAATGGGAGTGGAAAGTGAAGAGCTATATAAGGCACGCCACAAGTTCACATGGTACGCGTGCTATTGCGGCTCGATGTGGCGTAGCCCAAAAGACAAATCCGTGCGGGCCTAGGCCCAAAACGGACAATACGTGCCATGCTTGGGTCGTGACACCTCCATCTTTTGGTCTTCACAGTTTATCATATAATATTTTTTTATCCTCGGCAGTTATCATATAATATTTGCAGAGTGATGGTTTGACCAACCCTGCTATATGGGACGGAGTGTTGGCCAGTCAAGAACTCCATGTGCAGAAGATGAAAGTAGCAGAAATGAGGATGTTGAGATGGATGTGTGGAAGTACCAGGAGGGATAAGATTAGGAATGAAGTTATTCGGGACAAAGTAAGAGTGGCCTCCGTGAATGACAAAGATGCGGGAGTCGAGGCTGAGATGGTTCGGGCATGTTAAGAGGAGAAGCGTTGACGCTCCTGTTAAGAGGTGAGAGGTTGACCACGGGTTTGAGGCAAACCTAAGAAATACTGGGGAGAGGTGATTAGGCAGGACATGGCGCGGCTTCAGATCACTGAGGACATGACCCTTGATAGGAGGGTGTGGAGGTTGAGGATTAGGGTAGAAGGTTAGCAGTAGTACTAGTAGCACGCATGTACTTTCTTATCTCTTAGATTTGTATTACATCATGTTGTTTAGTTTGTTTCAGTTATCGTATTCATCTGTTGTTACTATTTTGGTGCTACTTATTATGTCCGACCGTGAGTCATCCAAAGAATGATTGGGCACTTATTCAAGGNCCCCTCTTTTTTCTTTTTCTCCCTACTTTTCTAAGCCGAGGGTCTATTGGAAACAACCTCTCTACCTTCACTAGCTAGGGGTAAGGTCCGCGTACACACGACACTACCCTCCCCAGACCCCATGTGTAGGAATATACTGGGTATGTTGTTGTTTTACTTATCAGAAGTGACACTGCAATCAAATCTCCATATTTGCATCGTTTAACAGCATACGTCTTCGCTACATACTGATTCCTCTACTCTGCATTTTGTTTTTGGTTTCAGTTGAAGATGCGCTTGCACATCCTTACCTAACATCGCTTCATGATATTAGCGACGAGCCCGTTTGCATGACTCCTTTTAACTTCGATTTTGAACAGCATGCCCTTACTGAGGAACAAATGAAAGAGCTGATTTACAGGGAGGGTCTTGCATTTAATCCTGAATACCAGCACATGTGAGTACTCATTTGCTGTTGGAAATGTCTGTGTGACTTTCATTTTTTATGCAATCAGGTGGTTTATTTTTCCATGTATATACACGTCTTTTCCACCTGATGCCTGGATGGTGTTCTTTTTGAACGCTTTAATTTATGTAGCATGATCTGTGTATGACAATTGTTTGATGTATTTTAAGAGGTTGTTTACTTGTATCGGTACTGTTTGTTACACTGAACTTCTACTAGGCGATTTGGGTATTGAATATGTAATCTTGCTGCCACAGTATTTTATTTATTTACCCGCAATAAGTGCTTTTTATGCTTCGATACTGGTTACTGTCCCGAGGAACCCCCTCCAGAAAAAACTGGGTTCTAATACTTTCTTGGATATCTGACACTAATTAATTCTGATATCTAATGAGCAATCCTGTGAACATGCTACATTATAGTCAGCACCTGAAATCTTCATATGCATATCATGTGTACTAGACCTTTTTATTAAATATTGAAATTGTAAGGATTCATAATGAGTTTGTGAGTGGGAGAGAGGAAGGGTATTCTTTTAGGCTTTGGGTGACAGGAGTGATGTTAAACCTTATTAATTAGGAAGTAAAAGTGGACAGTGTGCAAACCTCATTTCTACCCTTTAATGATCGAATGAAAATATAATCCTTTTGAACCTCCTTAATTGATGCCAAAACCACTTGAATTTGAATAGATAAAACTACATGTGAGAGAAGAAAATCACACTATGTTTATGAAATATCTAATACCTTATGCCAAATTGAATGTGAACAATAATACTTGTGGGAGGAGAAAATCATGCAATGTTCCTCTTCCTTTTTTTTTCCCCCTTTTTCTCCTCAAGTTAAAACAAGTATTAGTTCATTATTGTCAGCTGAGTGCTTTAATCATACAGTCCTTGTAGCATTTGTAGAGGTTGAATTCAGTATCTCATTCAAGAACTGGATACAAAACTTTACCTCAAGAAATGATGATATGCAGTTGCATCATAGCACACCTACCAGTACAGACAGGTCATAAATACGACTATGTACATGTCAAACAGTAAAAGCTTTTCATGATCCCAAATGATCTTGAAAGCAACAAAGAACCATCTTGCTCTTCGTTCTCACTAGTAGATTACTTTGACCTCCAACTATGCATCTTTTTCATTCCTCTTAGAGTTTTTTTTTAATTCCCCCCACTTGATTCCCCTTTGTTGGAGCTATCGCTCCTTTGGTGACTCGATATGCCGACCATCGGAGTAACCCCCTCTTGTCTCTTAGATTTGATATTGATTTTCTTGATTCTCTATTTTCACCCTCTGAAGGGAGCCTTGGCGTAACTGGTAAAGCTGCTGCCATGTGACCGGGAGGCCGCGGGTTCGAGCCGTAGAAACAGCCTCTTGCATAAATGCAGGGTAATAAGACTGCATACATTAGACTTTTGTGGTCCGCCCTTCCGGGACCCGCTCATAGCGGGAGTTTAGTGCACCGGGCTGCCCCTTTTTTTCTATTTTCACCCTCACCACTTTTAGATTCAGAAAATGATGTTTAGAAGCTGGTAAGATTTCCTTGCTTGCTTAATTAGATATATGTCATTCAAGTTTTAACCTTGGAAAGGTTGATGATGAGAAAGGGGTGACGCACATCCAAATATTGATTGCAAATGTGGTGAAGAATGCATGGAGAGAGAAGAAAGTTTCAAAGGGTTATTAATTCATCAACGAAGTTATTCAGGTAAAAACAAATAGGAACCAAGGTATATTTATGTCAAGTCCATTTACTCAATAGCACCACGAAGGTAAGCAAATTGGAAATAGGAAATATTTCTGTCAAGGGTCAGTTGCTCATCAATGATACATTGCACGCGCAATCAAACAACGATTTGTTAGTTTGGGCTATGGCTGGTGTATTTGGAATCTATTGTGACATTCAAGTTAGTAAAATTCTTGAAAGATAGCAGAAGCAACACAAAATAAACGGAAATAGGAATAAGAAAGATCAATGAACAAGTAGACAGTGTTCCTTGACTATGTTTCTATTTTCTGTTATACATGTTAGTATGTAACATGCAAAAGAGCAAAATTGCAGGGGTCGAAAGTCACGACGATGACCCTGTTAGAATGGCATCTCAAGTAGGGCCAGCGGGCAGCCAACATGTAATTAAGGCTATTCAATTGAATTACCTTCATCTGAAAGTTATACGCGAAAATGGGTAAAAATAATTTTGTTTGTTCATTTATAAGTGTTTGAATCTATTTGACATAAAAGAAGTATAAGTTCAAATATTAGGTGTGGCGTTTTGGATTTTGCTGAATACTCTAGTAGGAATTTCTGGTTGCTGTCACGTGGTGCATTTTTTTGTGTGTACAGAAGTGTATTTGTGTATAAAGATATCAGACGAAGGATTTTGAGAAGAAAATCATGTAGTCGGGCGGAACCTTGATCAGTATTCCAACTAACCGTTATATGGTAATGGATTGGGCAAAATACAAATTGGTCGAAACTAATTACACACATATATATACTAGTTTCTTCGCACATGCGTTGCACGTGTATATCAAGTCATATTATATATAGTTTCGTAAAATAATATCAATATTATTTAAACAAACTTTGAGTAAAATACATGAAAAAATGAAGTATAATTTTATGTTATTGATTAATATGGATCGTCATATTGTACTTGATCTTCAAGTGAAGATTGGATATCGTGTGAACTTATAAAGATGAATAATCAAAGTTTTATTAGATACATGTGATTCTTTTACGTATTTTTATTTTATGAGGAACAAACATATAATTAAGTATACCTCATTTAATTCGTCCTTATATACGATATTTTTGGTGTATATCCCTTTCATTTATTGTGATTGCTCTGTCATGATCAACGGTCTTTTTGTTCACATTGATATTCTTTAAAAGTGCAGCATAAACTTTTGAAAATTCATTCTAAACAAACATCAAACTTTGAAAGTTTCTTACAAACAAACACCAAACTTTGCATACCTTGTTTGCGCCATAGGATTAATTGCCTAGAAAATTTGTTTCTTTTCCTTAGCAATCCTTTAAAACTAACGCTGCAAGAGATGTTGGATGTAAAACTAACAGCTCACATAAGTTGTACCTGCACATAACAAATCCATACTTTTACATTTTTGTTTTTATGCCATTAATTAACTCTCCACAAAATATATTCACATATATAATCACATGTTTATTATATTCTCGCAGATACTTTCACACATTAGTAATACCATTTTTACATCGCACCATCAGATAATTTCATTATAATTCTAATTTTACCTGGCATCTTTACACACACTCTCCACTACCTGCATGCAGATGAAAATGAATGTACACACGGACACTCAGAATCCACATACAACAAAATACAACATCCCTCCAGTATACGGTCGAAATAGATTTCGGCCTTAGCACGTCCAATCGAGTTCGAACGACGACTTATCGGAGTAAGATCCTGAGCGTGGAACGAACTAACCTCGAACCCGGAAGGCCGATCCGTGTCGAGTTCGATATCATTATCGAGCTCGAATCAAAATCAAACCATGATGCAGAGTAGATCTATGTTCTGATAATCCAGAAACCAACCAACATTGACCTCGAATCAATTCGAGGGCTCGAACCAGGATCGGGCTCGAACCAAGGTCACGAGTTCGAGCCGAAATCAAGCCCTAACCAAAATCGAGGATTCTAAGCAGGATCGAGCTCGCAGACAAAAGCCGTTGCAATCCCACTAGAGAGAATCTTGGCAGAGATTATGGAAAAACTAACTTATCATGGGTCTCCCACTGAATGTTTATTTTATTATGCTTAGAGCCTAATCCCTCCACTATAAAAAGGCTTGGTTACCATTTCTGTAGGACATGTTTTTTCTCAGGCTTACATTGTAATAAAAGTGCTATATTCTTCTACAATAACGAATCATTTTCTTTCAGATTTCTTAGACTGATTCTATTTGTTGAATCCTAAGATTCATGGTTCCTGATAACCTTATCTACTTTGCATTCTCCCCAATTTATATTTACATTTTTATTTACCCTTGCATTTTGTGTTAAGTTACGCCACATATCCTCGGAACTGCGTATAAATTCAACTCTATCCATTTTTCGGATAAACACCTCCACAAAATTTTTGATTCTACTATATTATCGAGAAGGTGTGTTGCATTGATTTCTAATTCAATTTAATGCTAATACAGTAAATAAAATCAGACTAAAACTGTAAAACATATGAGAATATGCTCTAATAAAAGTAGGAGATTCTCTACGCATCCTCTGTAGATTAAGTAATCAACTTGATGCGTTGCCTAAATTTTCACGCTCCATAGGACTGTCTCCTTTGTTCTATCGCTTTCATCAAGCTTATGAAAAGTGCATATTGATTTTAGATGAATTCGATCTGCTCCATCTTCTAATTAAAATATTTGAAAGCGTATTTTCTTTTTCTTTTTTCCCTTAGAAAAGCTAATATTAAAAGGTTGCTAAGAAACCCCGTGAACAATATCAAAAGTTACAAACATGCACGTTGTCATCCAACAAAATGTTACTCTAGTAGATATAGCCTTACACCTTTTTCAAAAGCATTATAATGATCAAAAGTAGATTGATAAAACATCATCTTTTATGAGCACTATCACAAAAAATCAAATCAGAACACAAAGAAATCGTACAAGAAAATAGAAACATGCATTCAATTCATAATATGTGTGATATGATCTATTTAATTTAATTAGCCATGAAGATATTAATTAAATCATATGCTGTTCTTCTTATGTTATTTCTATGGTATTCAGTAATCCAAATATCACGAGCATAAATACAAAAGAGCTAGTTTACTATACCAAAAAAATAAAAAAACATTTGAACTAAGCAACCACAGAATATCAATGATTAAAGAAGATTTAGATCCATGACTGTTTTAAAAAAGATTGTGCCAATTATTTCAATTGGTTGGACTCTGACAGAAAATTGCGGAGTTTGTGCAAAAGCATTTTTCTTTATGAAGTGTTGGCTTAGAATATGCTGTTTGTAGGCGTCAGTTAATACTTAATAGTATGCTTTAGGAAGCGTTGTGACAGTCAAGGAGTTTGTTATAGGCGTTAATTTTTCAATTTTTTAAACTTTTAAAAATAGGTATTTTGATTAATNCCACACAAGTTGAACAATCTTGGCCTTGAAGGTTGGTCACCCTCGAGTCAAAAATGCTACAATCAGTGCCAGAGCAGAGTAATGAGATAATAATAACTAGAAGTA